TATGGTTAAGGGCTTGCAGGCCAAGCCCTACGAGGAGAGACTAGAGAAACTGGATCTATTCAGCCTCCGCAAGAGAAGGTTGAGAGGCGACCTTGTGGCAGACCTATAAGTTCATCACGGGGGCACAGAAGGGAATTGGTGAGGTTTTATTCACCAAGGCGCCCCCGGGGGTTACAAGAAATAATGGCCACAAGCTAGCAGAGAGCAGATTTAGATTGGACATTAGGAAGAACTTCTTCACAGTTCGAGTGGCCAGGGTCTGGAACAGGCTCCCAAGGGAGGTGGTGCTCTCCCCTACCCTGGGGGTCTTCAAGAGGAGGTTAGATGAGTATCTAGCTGGGGTCATCTAGACCCAGCACTCTTTACTGCTTATGCAGGGGGTCGGACTCGATGATCTATTGAGGTCCCTTACGACCCTAACATCTATGAATCTATGAAAGGCTTGCAGCCCAAGTTCTCCTTCTGCTCCGTCAGGCACAAAGCATGTGCTTATGACATCATGGCCTCCTGTTACAGGAATAGCTATGATATTATTGTGACTTCACATCAGGTTTTCACAGTGGCAGTAAGTAGGGTCTGGGAACTACAGATATCTTTCAACAAATGTATTTTTGGAAGAGAGCACAGAGTTGGAATGAAAGGACTGTAGGCTCAGACACACGTGCCCTTTAAGCAGTGGCCTGAAGGAAAATGAGGGGGAGGAAACAGATGAAGCCTGCTGCTTTATTTTGGCTGTAGACTGATGTATCACTATACCATTAAAAAGAAGTTGGGGTGGGAGGAAGCATAGGAGGTAGATCTGTGCAAAGCTTCGGTAGGTGATTCAGTTCAGAGAAGATTCACCCCGATTTGGGGACCACAAGTCCGAATATGAATCGAACCAGAAGACCAAGTAAAAACTCTGGATCGATTCGAAGCAACCAAATCAATTTGGAAAAAATTTTGGAAAAGATTCAGTGATTTGGAGATTCGGTCATAGACTAAACAGGCAGCTGACAGCTGCCTCCAGCGGTTAAGGCTGATTGGGTTGGGGGAGGGGGCAGGGAAGTGATGTGGGGGAGGGAGGGATTGGGACTGGAGCTGGGACAGGCTGCCCAGCTGGGGCAGTGGGGCACATTACTTGGGGAGAGGGGTGTGGTGGGGGTGGGATGTGGGCGTGGCAGCACTGGGAGCGGGGGCTCTGCCCTGCTGGTGCCTGCAGTTTGGGGTAGGGGGGGGGGGGGGGGGGCGGCCGCCCCCCCCTGAGAGCGCTAGGTGACTCCACATGTCAGCTGGAGCCTGGCAATGCTCCTTTCCAGCTGCCCCAGCTCCCAGACAGCACGCGGCCAGCTGCCATGCAGGTGCCAAACGGGGGGAGGAGGGAGGGTGATCCCTGCTGCCCCACACTGCATGGAGGGGCTCTGCCATGAGTGCCCAAAGGCTGCAATTGCCGGTGCTTCAGCCGGTGAGTGCAGGTTTTTTTGTTTTTGTTTTTTTTTTGTGCCAGGACGAGGCTGGGGCCAAGGAGGGGGGGCCCCGGGGGCTTCTCCCACAGCTCCCCTGCCCAGGGAGAGGCAGGCACAGCCAGAGGAGCCACCCAGCTGTGCCTGCCTCTCCCTGACTGATCCAAATCATTAAATCTGTCCGAATCAGCACTGAATCTTCTGAACCTGATTCAGCCAGATCAATTCAGGACAGTGATCCGAATCTCCAAATTGATTTGCTGTCCTCTGAATTGGCCGAATCTGAATCTGAATTGAATACTTCCCTATTTGCAAAGGCCTAGTAGGAGGTGTGTATGGGAGCTGCTGAACAGAAGTGCACATCAGCTGAATCAATGTAACAGTTTTATTTGCCGACTTTTTATAGTGACAGGAGTGAGCTCAACTGCTGCAACATTAAAGCTGAATGAAAACTGATTTAACCTTGCCTACATGGTCAGATGAGTCACTAACTGGCTGGAGGGCTGCACCCAGAGAGTGGTGGTGGACGGGTCATTTTCAACCTGAAGGGATGTGGGCAGTGGGGTCCCCCAGGGCTCAGTCCTTGGGCCTGCACCATTCAACATCTTCATCAGCGACTTGGACGAGGGGGTGAAAAGCACCTTGTTCAAATGTGCAGACGACACTAAGATATGGGGAGAAGTGGGCACGCTAGAGGAGAGGGACGCTGCAATCAGATCTGGACAGGTTACAGGGGTGGGCAGATGAGAACAGGATGGGTTTCAACACTGACAAGTGCAAGGTGTTGCACCTGGGGAGGAAGAACCAACAGCAGACCTACAGGCTGGGGAACTCCCTTCTCGTCAGTGCAGAGTCAGAAAAGGATCTTGGTGTCATTCTTGACTCCAAAATGAATATGGGCCGACAGTGTGGGGACATGGTCAGGAAGGCCAACTGCACCTTGTCATGCATCCACAGATGCATCATGAACAGGTCCAAGGAGGTGATCCTCCCCCTCTATGTGACATTGGCCAGGCCGCATTTTGAGTACTACATCCAGTTCTGGGTGTCGCACTTCAGGAGGGATGTGGACAGCATGGAGAGGGACCAGAGGAGAGCCACTTGCATGATCAGGGGGCATCAGGACAGGCCCTACAGGGAGAGGCTATGGGACCTGAACCTGTTTAACCTCCACAAGAGAAGGCTGAGAGGGGATCTGGTGGCCATCTACAAACTGGCCAAGGGGGACCAGCAGGCAATGGGAGAGTCCCTGTTCCCCTGAGCATTACTGGGAGTAACAAGGAATAACGGCCATGAGTTGACTCAGAGTAGGTTCAGGCTAGGTATCAGGAAGCACTACTGCACAGTCAGGGCAGCTAGGATCTGGAACCAACTTCCAAGGGAAGTGGTGGTCGCTTCTACCCTGGGGGACTTCAAAAGAAGGCTAGATAGACACCTTGCCGAGGTCATTTGACTCCAGCATTCGTTCCTGCCCATGGCAGGGGGTCAGACTTGATGATCTGCTCAGGTCCCTTCAGGCCCCACCAACTATGACACTTGCATTCATTTCTCTCCACATCTACCTGTATAGGAGTGAGCACACAAAGCACTTACATCAGTACAGTGTGATGTGCAGTAAACCTGGTGTAATTTAAACCAGTATCATTTTTCATCAGTCTGCAGGCTCAGAGAACCTATACTACTGGCAGAATGATTGGCCACAGCTTGGCCGCTACCCCAACCAGCCCATGGACTTGCCCCCTGTCTCCACACCAAGTGTCAGAGCAGAACTTGGTCTCACGTCACAATGAGGTGTGAAGTCCCACTGTGCAGACTTCCTCCCCACAAGCTTAGATGCAGTGGAAACCTAGCACATGTTCTGCAGTATGTGCCGTATGGTGCCGGGGGCAGAATTTGCGTCCATATGCAAGTCAGGGGGAAAGAGAGATGATTTGAATTTTCTACATGATTCGAAATTGCTAGTCATGCCCCCAGCAGAGAAATCACTGATGGTTTGGATTAGCTAGAGGCACCTAAAGCCCCCTTACATTTTTTTTACATTGGTGTTACTTATTTCAGGGCCCTCACAAACTGGAAGCTGCAGTTAGTGCATATGTATGGAAAATATGCTGATGTAGGTAATGTCTCAGTCACATATTCTCTTTTTACAGCAAGTGCTTAGCCATTTTGTCAGAGGAAAGCAAGTCCCAGGAGAGAGTAGAAGGTGGACCAACGGGGTGAGGAAAGACAGTTTGAGATTCAGGAAATGTAGGGGCAAGAGGGCAGTATGTTAAAGCATTTTAGGGAAAGTGAGGGATGTCATTTGGAGATGACAGATTGAGTCTGCTTGTAAAGTTTTAAGACGTGAGTTAAGAAATACATGTACTGTTCCTGGCCCTGTTGTCTGTGCATCCTTGGCTTTCCATTGCTCACAGCCAGTTACCTTTTAACCTAATAAAGCCACCTCTGTTTCCATCCTCAGCAAAACTAGCCTACCTCATGGCTCAGATGCAGCCAGCGCAGGTCAAAGCCCCTCAAGGTAGACCAGGGCCTCCAGGTGTTCCTGGCAAGGAAGGACTCCCAGGAAGACCTGGCCCTCCGGGAGAGCCTGGCCGACCTGGGCAAACAGGATCTGAAGGACCACCAGGGCCTGTGGGTCCAAAAGGTGAGTGAATTCACCAGTCTGTTCCAGCAGCCTGTGTGCCCTTTAAAGATGCCACTTTGCTGCAAGTATACACAGTACTTTCTCTAAATACAGAGCGTGTAGTGTTTTGCTGGTAAATGGAGCTGGTTTAAATATGGTTTGGTTCTGCTGATTCCAAAAACAGAGCATTTATCAATATTTGCAGTGAAATGTTTCATTAACTTTTTTTAAGAGTCTTATTCCTAAATCTAGTCCTAAACAGGACAAGAAGTGATGGCATTAAATTGCAACAAGGAAGATTTAATTTTGGTATTAGGAAAGACTTTCTCACTATCAGGTGCTTAAACATTGGAACAGATTACCTGGAGAGGTTGTGGACTCTCCGCCCCTGGAAATGTTAAGTGCAAGCTAGACAAATCATTGGCTGGGACGGTTCAGACAAGGATGATTTTGTCTTGAGTAGGCAAATCATGTAGTCTAATCATGACTTCTTAAGGTCCCTCCTAGCACTGTATATGATTCTAAGGGGTTCATTTCATCATTTGGAACAGGACTCCCCTATATCCGGCAAGACATTTAAATATCCCTGCTTTGGATCTAACCGAGCATCATCAACCTTTGCCTTAGGCTGACTCTTCATTGCTCAATTACTGTAACAATGTGGGCCACAGCCATCCAGAGCTCAAATAAGCAGTGATTCAGTCCCATGGAGTGGTTCAGTTCCACTCTGGCTGTCGTCCATCGATATGCTCAAGTACGCATTTCACTTTAAACCTGTAAATAGTGCCCTGGATCTGAGTGGGGCGATATCCAAGCTTAAAGCTAAGCACATGGTAAAGTGCTTTGCTGGACCAGGGCAGAGAGCTCAGTAAGTTGCAGAATCAAGCCTTAGGTGGGTAGACCATTATGTAAATATCACAATCTAGTACCCTGACCGAATTGTGCAAAAGGCATATGGTTTCTAGAGTGGATTCCTACCTAGGCTTTCCACCATGCCACTTAGGAGTGACCTTCAGAAAAGGACTCAGTCTTCCTCTGTTACCACTTGCCAGCTAAACAGCTCAGCTATGCACTAAAATCAGCCCAATGTCATGTGCACCTCTCCTGCTTAACTTACCTGAAGTGATGTGGGCTTCAAAGGAAAATCATAAAGAGAAGCCCCTTGTCTGTCTGTTCAAGCTGAGGGATGGGGATTTCATAGACATTGGGGCTGGAAGGGACCTCAGAAGATCATCGAGTCCAGCCCCCCGCCCGAAGGGGAGGAGGACAGCTGGGGTCATAGGATCCCAGCAACATAAGCATCCAATTTACTCTTGAAGGTGTTCAATGTAGGTGCTTGAATCACTTCCGATGGCAGGCTATTCCAGACCTTGGGGGCTCGGACAGTAAAGAAATTCTTCCTTATGTGCAACCTGAAACGGTTTTGTAGTAGTTTATAACCATTCGACCTCATCATCCATTAGGATGCTCTGGTGAACAAATGTTCTCCCAGATACTGGTGGTCTCCCCTGATAAATTTATAGGTGGCCATCAGATCACCCCTGAGCCTGCGCTTTTCCAGGGAGCCCCATGGCTCTCAGCCTGTTGTCATAAGGTCTGTTTTCCTGACCTCTAATCATGCATGTGGCTCTCCTCTGCACTCTCTCAAGCTTCTCCACATCCTTTTTGAATTGTGGAGCCCAAAACTGGATGCAGTACTCCAGCTGCGGCCTCACTAAGGCCGAGTACAGGGGGAGAATGACGTCCCGGGATTTGCTTGAGAAGCATCTATGGATGCAAGCCAGCGTTTTGGTCACTTTACTAGCCGCAGCATCACACTGCAGGCTCATGTTCATCTTGTGGTCAATGATGACCCCCAAGTCTCTTTCTTCCATAGTGCTAGCCAATATAGCACTGCCGAGCCTATAAGGTTGCTGCAGTTTTTTCCTCTCAAGGTGGAGAACCTTGCATTTTTCAGTGTAAAACACCGTAAGGTTCTCGTCCACCCTTTTGCTGAGCCTGTCCAGGTCAGCCTGGTTCACCCTCCTGTCCTCAGGTGCTTTGCCCCAAAGTTTGGTGTCATCAGCGAACTTGGCCAGTCCACTTCTGACTCCAGTGTCCACATCATTAATGAAGATGTTGAACAATATGGATCCAAGGACAGAGCCTTAGAGGACACCACTGGTCACAGGGCACCATGACGATTGACTTCCATCAATTACCACCCTCTGGGTCCGACCACGGAGCAAATTTTCCAGCCAGTGGATCATGGTGGACCCAAGGCGACAATTGGCCAGTTTCGCCAAGAGTTGATCATGGGAAAGCAGATTGAAGGCTTTTTTGAAGTCAAGATATATGACATCAATCTCTTCTCCCTTGTCCAGGTGATAGGTCACCTGGTCATAAAAGGAAATGAGATTGGTCAAGCAAGACCTACCCACAACAAACCTGTGCTGGCTATCCCTCAGGATGTTGGCGTCGGCCAGTCCATTAAGGATCACCTCTTTAATAAACTTTTCTAAGATCTTCCCTGGGATAGAAGTCAGGCTGATGGGCCTATAGTTTGCTGGATCCACTTTCCTCCTTTTCTTGAAGATACGCACCGCATTGGCCTTCTTCCAGTCTTCGGGCACTACACCAGAGCGCCAGGAATTCTCAAAGATCCGTGCCAGAGACTGGGCTATGATGCTCGCCAGCTCCTTGAGTACCCTGGGGTGTAGATTGTCAGGGCCAGCTGACTTGAAGGTATCCAGCCTATCAAGGTGTTCCTTTATGAGGTCCGCATTGATAGAGGGCAGGGAATCTCCCTCACCCAGACCTCCCTGTCCCGTAGCGGGCATGGGCATCCCATGGGACTGATGAAAGCCCAGTGCAAAGTACCCATTTAATAGGTTGGCTTTTTCCTGGGCGTCAGTTGTCAGTTGTCCCATCTGGTTCAGCATGGGTCCAATGTTGCCCTTGCTTTTCCTCCGGCTCCACACATATCTGAAAAAGGACTTTTAATTGTCCTTGAAGCTCGAAGCTAGTTGGAGTTCAGTTGCAGCCTTGGCTTTCCTGGTTCGCTCCCTGCAGGACCGGACCAGTGCAGAATATTACTCCTTGGGATGCGGCTAATGCCTGTATGAAGTATACAAAGGATGGGGGAATTTCTTGATGTCTCCAACTGTTCAAGGCTCTTTCTCAATCCATCCCTGCCACTGTCCTTCATCACAGTAGATACCATGTGTCAAAGAAGTGATTGGTCCCAAACAGCATCACTCCACACAACTTCTCTAATCTCCTTACCAGGTCCTGTCTGAGACTGTTGATAATAGGTATTTATTTAGCAGAATTTGCAGGGCTGCAATGTGAGCACTCCTGCTATGGCCATTATGTTTTCTTGTATTACAATTGGGCCTAGCAGACCTGTTCAGGAGCTGGGACCTCCTTGTTGGGTACCTTTGTTTTATGCCAATCATACTAATCATTTTGGTTTTCTCTTGCCAGGTGAAAGAGGCACGAATGGTGAAAAAGGAGAAGCTGGCGTTGGTCAGAGGGGTGAAATAGGTTCTCCAGGGATTCCAGGTGTGTTGGTCATTCCTAAAACCAGGTCCCACACTGTCTCTCAAGATAGGCTCAAGGTCGGACATCTGCCCAAGCATAGGTGGCCTCTGGGGTTTGTGTGGTAATGGCAAGCTGGTATCTTTATCAACAGCCCACAAGGGAATGAAGTAGCAAGCAAAAGGTCCAGCTGCCTTTGACCCCCAGGCAGAATGACCCGATCTCCCTTTCACAGCTGGCCTGCCGGGGTGGTCTTTGGGTTTGCATCAAGACGGAGGCCCAAACTCATGCCTCCCAAGCTATAGCAGGGCATCTTACTAGCTCTGTGTTCCTCACTTCCCTTTTTCAGTGGATTAGTTTGGGATGCTTGTCAGCCTCCCCAAACCTTGTAACAACAGAGTGCAGCTGGTAACTTGCCAGCAAGTAGAGGATCACATCTCAGCCAAACGCCCAGACTCCAGGGTTTTTCCAGATGTTGGTAAAGCCTCAATATAAGCCTTGTGTTTGAGGCAGATGAGCATAATCCTGGGTCTTTATCAACAGATGTGCAAATATTTGCTAGCCATTCAGGTTGAAAAGCCTTTGGTCAGCCCTTCCTCACACCCTTATTCGATGCCAAAAGGGAGCCAGCGCTGTGCTTCAGGACTCTGTCTGCCGCGATTGGCACGCGGACCTCATGTCGTATGAAAGCAGCTATGCACAGAGCCATGTTCAGTAGCCACTCCAAGTGGCAGCTGAGTGAAAGGCAGGGAAGTGTACTGCTTCTAGCTGCATGTGGGGAAATGGTCCAGACTGGGCTTGGTACATCATGATGGGCTTGAGCCAAACATCTGGATGGGGCCCTTGTTTCATGACACAACGCTGTTGAGTCAACCCCTGGGAGCAGTGCTCACCCAACATGCTGTGTTTATATTCTAGGCCTCCCAGGGGAACCTGGCTATGGCAAAGATGGGATGCCAGGACCACCAGGCCCCCAAGGTGAAGCTGGGGTGCCTGGCCTCACGGGCCCACCAGGACCTTCTGGAGCCAATGGGCAGTGCGATCCCTCTCAGTGCGCTTACTTTGCAAGTCTGGCTGCAAGGCCTGGCAACGTCAAAGGACCCTAGAAACTGCAGCCTAGGGACAACATCTCTGGACTGATTTCTAAAACTTGAATTCAACAATCCAGCTCCTGGATTTCTTTCCTTGCATTTCTTTATGGGAGGCCTTTTAGACAATGATAGCCAACAAATGCTGCCGGTCGGTCAGATTAGTATTATAATTATTATTAATTATTATTATTATTATTATTGATGTGAGAAGTGATTTTGTTTTTGTTCTCTCTAACATCAGGGAATGTTAAAAATTAAGAGTAAAGGTTTAAAAAAATATATATATAAATATATATGATATTGATGCATAGCATAGCTGTCACTGTTTATATAGAAATTGTTGTGGTGCCAAAAATAAGAGTTCAGCTGGTGAATTCTTGTCTGAACGTCAGTCACCCCATCCTCCCCTTCTCCCACCCCCAGAAAGATCCCAAGTGCTCCATTCAATCCATGGTCATGCCTGTGAAACGGGCTTGCAATGAGGTTGTTAGCACTAGCTGATAATTGCTAAGTCGCTGGGGGGAAATGCCATGCAGAGGCTGGCAAAGAGCAATGCCGTGCATTCAGCTCACAATGGACAATCAGTTATAGGCAACAGGCACCGGGTTTCCCAGAACAGCCATGTTAAGTTTAACGTTCTCTTGCTCATAAAGGACACAAACTTTAATCATGCGAATCCACTTTATAGGCTTTTTACAGCCTTTTTACAGGCGTGACAGTAGGGCTCTGAATAGAAGGTAAGACGTGGCATCCTGCTCTGCACGTGTTCTCCCATTATGCTCCAGAGGTTGTAGTCCCAGCATGTGGGGCTTTTGCTCTTGCTGCCGAGGAAAAGCCTCTGCAAGCCACTGGGAAGTTTGTCCTCCTTCAGTTCAGATGACATTTTGTGCCATCTTTGCTGTAAATGGCTAATGTCACCAGCTAACATTAATAGAGGGGTCTTCCATGTCTGGGCTAGATGTTATGTTTGGATGGAGCGTATTATGGGAGATCAGTCTAGATGGACTGTATTGTGGAAGGGATCCAAGGAGAGGCTGGAGAAGTGTCTCTTTGAGATGGTTTAGGAATAGTGAGCCCATCATGCATCAGTGCAGGGGTTGGAATAGATGGCCCTAGAAATCCCTTCCAATCCCATGACTGTGAGAGCTCCCTCCTTGCCTGCGAATCTGAACATCTGAGTGCAATGTGCAGCCCACCATTTCTGAACGACGCGGTGCACAGCTTTGGAAGTAAGGACAATATGTCAGAGCTGATCTGTAAGAGGGCCTCTTACATGCAGTGGGCAGTGCCGATAAGCATTTGGAGAACAAATGAGTTAAAGGAAGCTTTGTAGGTGTGTCAAATAGTCCCACCCAGAGACTATCACTTGAAAATAATTGGGCTGCAAGGCTGCAAGAAATAAACTTAAATATATACAGAGAGTAAAGAGCCTGTTCTGCCAGGCTGGGCTGGGCAAAGACGTTCACTTCCGTCGTAGATTCTCCCTCATGCTGAACACATTTATTGAAGCACAGTCCCATAAGCAAAGAGACAGCTTTTCCCAAGCAATCAGGAAAGATGAGCCTCATGCACACACTTCAACACAAAGCACCCTGACTGTCAGAAGTGCTCTGAATACAGTCACTTGCCTTGTTCTCACAGAGGGAAGGGGTGTCGGGCCTCAGTGGGCATTGCTGATGTCTGCACACTTTTGAAGATCTTGTTAAATGCGAAAATTGAGTTCTTTTGGGAGGGAAAAAAGGGTATTTCCAAGTTATTTAAACTGAGCAGAAGTCAGTTGGGGAGAGTGTGGATCCATTACAGCAACGATTCCCAAACTCTGATAGATTGTGCCCCACCGATTTTAAAACGATGCAGCCTTAAGTACCACCAGCCAATTTTAAAGTTCAACCTTAAGTACCACCAGCACATTTTTGTCCTATAAAGTAAGGATAATATATCTGTTAAGGCGAACCACTGACAGGTGATCTGTGTACCACTGGTGGTAGCTGGACCGCGATTGGAAACGGCTGCATTGCAGAGTTGTAACGATGGTGCGTCTATAAACAGAGCCATTTTGCCGCTTTGCAAACTTTCCTCCCCGCACATAGCATATGATCTTTTCAGTATGAAAAATGCAATAATGACCGTATCTCCATATGGGAGGAAAGAAGTCTTTCTGCTGTAGATTGCAGTGGTGTCATTCCCCTGCCAATACACAGTGGTTCATTGTATTTTATTTTACCATGTTCTTTGTCATATAAAGGCAATAATGGTGAACATTTCATACATGGAAAAGTTAATTACTTATGGAGTAACTTAAGGAAGTGTATCTATGCTGTGCTTCCTCTGATAGGTCAACTCTCTGTATTTAAACCATTGTAACGTCTAATCGGTGCAGCAAACAGTAGGCAGGCATGTTGATCATACAGCGCTTTGCAGTACCAGGCTTTCTGTGCAAGGCTAGGATACAGTCCACCTACTATAGCGATAACATAGGGTGAGTTTCACACTCAAGAGGTGCCTCCTTGATAGCACAGAACGTCATTTCTGATAGGTATCATGGCAGCGGCCGGGTTGTGTAGAGGTCAGGTATCTTAACTGGGCCATGTTAATGTGACATTTAACTCCTGTCATTTCAGTAACTCACAAGACTCTTTAAATCATATCTAGGAATGCCTCTGCACCTTCTGCTTTGGCTTTAACAAAGTCAGCATGATGTACACAGTGTAAGTGGGAAATACATACAAATGTTCTTAAAATAGGCTCAGGGCCTTTTTCCCTTCCATGAGATTGTGCAGTGGAATCTCATTTTGAGGCTCTAACAGGATGCAATTGCTTGAGAGAGGGAGAAGAGGGTGTTTTTTTTTCCCCTTTGCAATCTCTTGAACTCAGAAATCTATGCACTTTTTGCGAAGAGGTGGCTGCTATTAAAATAAAAGGCACTTCTGCAATTTGAGCGGCAGTTAGCAAATATGAATAGAGGATGCACAGACCAGATGCTTGTGACATGCCCCTGATTTCAGTCCATGCTCTTCCTGGGACACTGAGAAAGCACTCCAATGGTTCTGCTTTTCTTTCTCTATCACTGCTTGCTGTAGCTCCAAGCACTTGGTTACAAGTGTGTGCCATGACTCTCTCATTTATGTAGCTTACCCATCCTCATCAGTTGTGACCAAAACCTTTACCAGCCCCTCTGAATTGCAGGATGGCAGGAAATGGCTTGCATAAGAAGAGAAGATCTTAAAGTGAGTGATGTTTGGTTAAAATATGGGCAGAATGTCATTAATGCTGCTAGAGGGATAATGCCGATCGCACCAACATTTAACAATACCCTGTGAACTGGCGTAAGCACTTCTCAAAAATAGCACGTGTTCCTTGTGGAGCAAACCTGTAATATCTAAGCAATAACACCCAGAGGAGAGGACTGGCCCACAAGGATCACCTAGGAAGAACAATCCCTTCTTAAGGTAAAACTTCATATCACGGGAGATATAGAAATACACTGATGAGAGTATAGCCTTGATAGAGAATTCAATAAGAAACTTCCTGTTGCTATGAACCACAATGGGAACAGGCCCAGTGTGTGCAATTTGAAGTGCAGGTCCCAACATCCAAAATAGACTTAATTTAAAGAGTGTTGAGAAATCGTCCCACAGCCCCCAATGGGCATTTCTTTAGACCCCAATCACACGTGTCCTTACATGTGGGCTTTACTGAGCAGGTTTGCACAAATAGAAACTGAGGAAGGACTGGCTTGGTTGAAGTGCTACAGAGAAGAACCTGGGGCTGACCATATGTTGAATATGAGCCAACAGTGTGCTCTTGTTGCAAAAAAAGCCATCGGCAACCTGGGTTGTATTCATAGTAGTGTCACTTGCCAATGAAGGGAAGTGGTTCTTCTGCTCTGTTCGGCACTGGTGAGGCCTTACCTGGAGTCCTGCGTCCAGTTTTGGGCCCCATGCTTGAAGAAAGATGCGCGCAGCTTGGAAAGAGTTCAGTGCAGGGCAACCAAAAATATGAAGGGCCTGGGAGGTAAGACTTATGAGACTTATGAGGAAAGGCCAGAGGTTATATATATAGCCTGGAGAAGAGAAGCCTTGAGAGGGCATTTGATAAGTCTTCAAATCTCTGAAGCGTGATTATAGAGAGGATACACATGGGCTCTTCTCTCTGGCTGTAGGGACAGGACTAGGAACAACGGCCTCAAGCTGCAGCAGGGAAATTTGGGCTGGGGCTTAGGAGGAACTTTCTGACTATGAGCGTGGTCAGGCATTGCAACAGGCCACCTAGGGAAGTTGTGGCATCTCCAGGCTTGGAAACTTTCAGCAGCAGGGTACACCGACACTTGGAAGGGATGGTTTAATCAGAGGGTGCACTAGATGACCTCGCGAGGTCCATTCCAGCTGTGCTTTCTTATGATCCTACTCGATGTATCATAAGCAGGTCCAAGGGGGGCTACTCCAAGGCATACCGTTCAGTAAAGGAGAGGGGATCATTGCCTTATTGAATTACCTAGTGTATGCACCCAGATCTGACATGGTATGCCTTAACCTCTCTGTGCCTCAGCATCCCTATCTCTAAATGGTTGCATGATCAAGCCCTGTGATGTCCATGGGATGAGAAGTACTAGTGTATGCAAGTGCCACCTATCACAGTATGTCTATGAATGGAGCTTGTGGTTTATATCTGAGCATTGCTCTCCTTTTCTCATCAACGCAGTCCAGCATTACTGAAAACAGGGCATGCTGATTAAATATGATTAGGGATACAGCCAACATTGTATTTATATATTAAAAAGGTGCTAATTATATGTGAGTTTTATGGCATCGTGTGATTTTTTTTTTAATGGAGTGTATAAATTATTGTGGTTGTTAGTAAATAAGCTATTGTTCAAGCATTTAAAAAAATATTTTTATTATTATTCTTTTGCCTATTAAACGAAAACCCCAGAATTATTTTTGGGGAAAGAAATGTGCGCGTTAAATTATTTCAGGGATCCTTATTTGTGGTAGAAAGTCGTTCAGCCTGAATTAGCTTTCTTTCAAGGAAGCTCTCGCTGGCATTTAATTATTTTCCTTCCCTGCCATTTGTGAATGGTTCTTTGCAACACAGTCTCATGGTGCTATTTTACTGAGCTCCGGTTTTTTTTCTTCTCTTGTTGTTGTTAATATGGGCTTATTAAACTATTTAAAATTGACCAGCTGTTCTGCCTGTTTGTTTGGAAATGTGTGTTCACCAACAGAAAACAGAAGAGCAGAAGGGTAAAACGAATGAGTTTGTGGTCTGTAAACATAACATTCTTGCTGCATCGGTGTCGTACTTGAGGGTCTCCGCTCAGAGCCCTAGGCATGATGGGAGGCTACCGTATGAGATATTAGCATCTTTAGAGGAGAAGGACACTGCAGTGGTCTGGGGCCACCTCGGGGCTCAAAAACATTGGGTTCAGTTCTCTGCCTTGCCGCAGACTTCCTCTGTGTTCATAGAGAAATCATTCAAGTCTTGGAAAAGTCACTTCAGATCCACCACATGCCGAACTAGTAGGGGAGGTGCCGGCGTTTCTTTGTGAAGCTGGGCCCCAGCCTTGATGTGGCTCGGTTGTAAGGCTAAGGCACAAAGCTAGGCAGGGTGGCACCTTCTAGACTAACTCATTCAGAGAGGCCTTAAAGATAGCGAAGCTACGTTATTGGGACCATGTCGGCATGCAAGCGAGAGAGGAGACATACTAGAGCCGTACCCCCACAGCAAGCAATCTTGTCTAGAAATGCGGGAGCTGCTTCCCAAGGGTACTGCTGTGCTCGGCTTCCTCAGTGACACGGGGACCCGTATCTGTAGTGTCACCGGAAAATTGCTGTCCGCAGCCTACTTGAAGCATGCTTTGGAGGGACTTTGCTAGAATGGTGTTTCCTGGGCAAATTTTCTGCACGTGCTTTCTTAGGCAACGAGGGGGAGATGCATGTCTTTATGGAAAGCCAGAACCAGCTGCAAGAGCTCCTGTGGGGCTGAAGTCTTATTCATTTTTTGTGCTAGCGTCCTACCCTGGGGGTGAGCACTCATCTGAGGACCACGCAGCATGCTGGAAACAGCCAGCAGGAGCAGGAAGAGGGTCCCCTGAGTTGTTCCACTGCCGATTTGGTGCCTGTAGATGAGAGATGGTGGGCACGGTGTCTTTGAGAGCATCCTTTGGAGGGATTTGGCTCTCATCCCGAGTCTCCATTTTGTGGGGAACCAGCATTTCTGGTCAGGAATTTTTCCTCCACAAATGAGACTCTGAAGCATGGAGGCTATTTTCATTCCAGGGATATGTTACCTTACAAGGTTACTGAGCCCTTCCTGCCCCTTGAACAACACGTTCTCCCTATTGAACCTCGTGGCATCTCCTTGGACTTCCTCCAGACAGAAGCACTGTCAGTTCAGCACCAAGATGGCATCCTTCACCAATATGGGTTCTTCTGTCTCTAATTTCATTTTAGGCAAGGGCCTAAGCCATGCCCATTGAGGTCAGCAGTGTGCGTTTCATTAAACACTGCTGACCTCAACAACCTCCAAAACTGGGGTTGTTTTCCCAGAACTGACCCTCTGTATTATAGTGTCACAAACGTGGCATTTTGGGCTAATCTCAACAAATGCCTATATAGTAGCCACAGACACTTCAATCCCAGAATCTGAAAGGGTGAACACAGCCTTGTAAAACTACTTTGCAGTGGTTAGTAGTTATCTTCCTTCTTAGAAATGGGGAAAATGAGATTGCAGGCAGCTTAGGACCTGATTTTCAAATGTGCTGGACCCGTTGGCACTTCCACTGAAATGTCAAAGCTGGCCCTCTACTCATTTGGCAATAAAGCTTTAAGGCCCAAGCACCCAACTCCCATTGGTATCACTGGGATTTAAGCACTTAAACAGGAATGAGATGCCCAAATAAGTTTGCGTGAGGTCACGTGTATATCTGTAGCAGAGCCAGGAAGAGTAGAAATAACTCCCCTGACTCTGCTGTATGCTTTTATCACAGGGTCCTAGTGCTGCTGTCACAAAATCCCCTGGAGCTAGTTGAACTACTCTGGGTGTGGATCTGAAGACTCACTGGGGTTGGATCTGATCCTCAGTGAGTAATGAAGACCCACAGGGCCACAGGTCATCCCCCTAGTAAAATCTGGACATAAAAGGGACCCCAGCACAAGCCGCTGCTAGGCTCAGCTCGAGAGTTTTGTTTTGCTTTCTGAAGCTCTCCCATGTCTCACTGAGTTAGACAAAGAGCACAGAGGAGGCTGTGCTTGTTCAGTGGGCTGGGCAGTGTATGCACTGCTTGAAGCTACTCTAACAAGGGGGGGAATTCATCTGAGCCGGAAGACGAGTGTTTGCTCAATGGAGGTAACTGAGCAACCTTGAACACCCAATGTTTGTGCTGAGAACTTGCTTGGCAGAGTCAGCAAAGAGCCGAGCATTCAATAAGTCAGCGGCGGCCGGCAGAGAATGTGACACTCCCCCAAGGACCTTATTCCCCTCTGCTCACCCCTCTCTGCTTCTGGAGGAAGCATGCATCCCACTCACTTCTTCGGTGCCGTCTATGCTAGCTCAGACCTGCAATGGAAGTACCTTGTGGAGCATGATCCTAAGTATGAAGGACGGAAGAAACTCAAAGTAGAAGGCAAGCAGCTGGTGTCTTTGCCTCGGCAGATCTTCGCCTTGGAAGCCCTGCAGGTTTTAGAGATAAGCCCGGAAAGAAAGAGCTGTCTCCAGTACAGGATGGAGCTGATCCCCCAACAAATCAGCCAGCTGAAGAATCTGACCCTCCTCTACATGGACTCCAACAACTTGAAGGAGATCCCTGCTGAAATCGGCACCTTGAGCCGCTTAGAGAGACTCACCCTAAGCAACAACAGCCTGTGCTCACTGCCACAGGAAATTGGGCACCTCCAGAAGCTGCACAGCCTGCACCTGGCCAACAACAGCTTCTCAGAACTGCCGCCCCAGTTGTGCCAGCTGAGAAACCTGGCTTTTCTGGACCTCAGTGACAACCAGATCAGCTCCATCCCCCCTGGCATTCAGCACCTGGAGAGTCTGGAGACGCTGCTGCTGCTGTTCAATTCTCTGGAGCATCTACCAGGAAGTATATGCGTCTTAAGAAACTTGTGCACTCTTTGGCTAGGCAATAACAAGCTCAGATCCCTTCCTGCCAACTTTGGGGAGCTGGTAAACTTGGACTGGGGTTATAATTACTGTTCATGTAACTTTGAGGGAAACCCACTGGAGTGTCCCCCCCCAGAAGTGTGCAGCAGAGGCCCACGGCAGATCAGGGAGTACTTTTCTTCGCTCTGTAGAGAATAGAAATGATGGGGAAATGTCTTTGATGGGTTTATACCAAACGATCCAAATCTTCCAGCATAATGGAAAAGGCTGGTACAGTTAGAAAGCTGAGAGACTTAGATGGCTTATGGTTATTTTATACCACTGTTAAGCAAATGGTTGTATACATCCTCCAAGAAATATTTCAGGAGTGGATGGGATCTTTTCATTACCGGTATTTCCAGTCTCAAAGGTTTCTCTCTGGCAATGATATTGCCTTATGGGCATGAAGAAGCTAACTCTTTCTAATTCTGTGGGTACCGTGCCAGTCACACTTTTGATGGTTGTATAAATCTTTACAATGGGCATGGCTTAGGCCCTTGCCTAAAATGAAATTAGATACAGAAGAACCCATATTTGAATAGAAGAGCCCATGTTTGAATCTCAACGTGGATTAGGTTAGGCTGAGATTGGGGGCAACATTCAGGGCCAAAGCACAGTATCAAAATCCTATAATGTGTCCTATGCCCATGAGTCTCCTCCCATTTTGGAAATGCCTATCAAGAACCATAGGGAAGAGATCCAGTGATTTGAATGCGATCCTTTTGGAAATGGGAAGGAGGTCGGTGCTTGAGAGTCCAGATACGGTCTGTCCCTGATGTAGAAGTGAGCAAATAGATACATCTAAAGCTGCATTAAAAGAAACATCCTCTGTGCATAAGGTCAGTGATGCAACAGAAAAGAGTCAGGGAATTGAGGCTGCTCCTCTCAGCTCTCTCATGGCCCCAGTTGACATAGTATCAGGTCACACCTTGGACAGGTGAGAAGATGGAGAAAGGAACTTGTGACTAAGTCACTTAGACAGTTAAACCCTACACTATTCAGCTTAAACTTTGATCTTGCAGCTGACTTTAGATGACAACCTCTATGTGGCATCTCACTGCAGCCTGCCCGGTGAGAACAGCCCAACCACCAGCAGTTTATTTGCAGGATAAGGTCCTGGGTATTTGCCTTGCTCAGGGTCATTCACAAACTCTGTTCAGCCTTTGTGAGGAAAAGGTGGTAGGTGGAGAGTATCCAATGATGCCAGAAAGGTTGTTTCTTATCCTCAGCTGGGGAGTTTACAGGTTTTTTTAAACTAGAAGCACCCAAAGCTGGAAACCCATGAAAAATATAAGGCAAAATAATAATGGTGCCTCTAGTAATTGTATTCCTCTCTTTCATTCACCATGCCCAGAGGTGTTGTCCATCTATTGACTCCTGTGAAATCCTATGAAATATGAACTTTCATTTCTACCCAGGAGAACTTTTACAATCTCTTCTCCAATGCCTGATGAAGAGGGCTTGTGCCCGAAAGCTTGCAATTAAAGAATTTTTTTTTGCAAAATCTTGTTGGTCTAATAAAAGATATCTCTACTACGAGTCCTGATTGTCTTTCATTCTTGCATTCTCTCTTCTAAACTTTTAGCCTTTTTTTTTTTTACTTTTTATCACTGCATCCTGTTTTGTCTTGCTCTCGTTCTTTTGCAGCTCTTCTTATGTTTGATTCTCTCCCTCCAAACTCTCCTCACTTTTCTCAAAAATGTTATTTTCTTCCCTGCTGTGTCCTTTCTGGCGCCTCTCATCTGGCCGCAGTCCAAGCGTGAGCACAGCACACGGCAAACTCTGCCTCTGCCGGAGAGCTGCCGGGCTGTCATACCTGCTGGGGTTTGAACGTGTGGTTTCAAGGATCATAAGTACAGCATTTAAAACACTGATCCTAGGCATGTTAAGCCTCCAGCTTGATCATTTTGCTCTCCCTTTAGCAGGGATCAGCATCAAAGAAAGTGAGTTAATGCCGAAATTCGTTCTGGTGCCGAGGCAACTTCTGATGCTCTGAGTGAGAGCTGACTTTTTTCCTGGGCTTTCTCATTGAATCTATCCCTGGCCTCAGGAAAACAATACTTCATCTGTCCATCTTATTCCAATGACACGGCAAACCAGTACAGCAGTACGCCACCCCTATGTGATGTTGGTGATGTGCATAATGATATATTCACTCGAATCCAGCATTAAAACAGCAACTTGTAAAAGTCATGTTCAAATGCATGATAATTCATCACTGGACAGGGACATTTGCATGACAACAGCTTTCAAAGGCAGTGTTGCCTGGGTCTTTAGGACACGTGAAGAACAACACTCTGGAGACACAAAACAGAGGTACAGGGGCATCCTGGTTATTCATGAGGAGTATTACTGAGCTACCTTATCAGGGTCGTTCCTTATGTCGATAAAGGTCAAGAGTCCCCAGGAGGCAGGAACAAGTGGAAGGAAGGGAGCAGGGACATGAGTTGCAGGCCACTTACAGCCATAATATTTTGCAGACGTGTAACTGGAGACTGTTTGTGAAATAAGGACCGGGGAAGTTAGAGATGATAGAACTGGGAACAGTGGGGCCAGGCTCTGTGGCTATAGCAGAGAAGTATAAAAAAACCTGAAGTTTCTTTTTTCCCCTAATTGCCACCACCTCACTTTTTGGCCTTGATCACATCACTTAAACTGTTTTGTGCCTCCTGCCTCCCGTGTTAGATGGGCATAATAATCACCAGCCATGTAAAGTGCATCTTGGGCAGTGGTCCACGCAAGTTCAGTGCAAAATAACAGTGGAAAGAAGACCTCCTCCTTGCTCTGCTGGGGCATGTGCGTGTGTCTGAGGTTGTTAGTTCTCAAAACCTCAAGACAAGATTCTCCATCTTCTGCTGCATAAATCCCTTCTAGGAACAAAATGCCAGCCACCCCTTTAGAAAGAAAATTTCTGGCAATTCCAGCCAAACTCCTGCAAGACCCACGAGCTCTGCAGAGCTTTAGCAATGTCTTTTCCCTCTCCGTTGCTTTGTGCTTGAGCTTCCCGTTTGGTCTGCAGGAGCCCTTCTGTTCCACGCCATTCCCTCTTGGAAAGCAATCGTGCCAATGAGTTCCCCAGGCATGACTAATCTTTCTGATTTATGGCTGCATTAAAGCCAATGTTGTCATAGGCTTCAGTGGGGAAGTCTGAAGGACTCACCACGGTAGGGCTCAAGAAGGGTTTCTAGAAGCTGGGAGCTGAAGCAAGCAGGGATTCACTTTCAAGCTCATTCAGTGATTCCCCTCTCTCCCACTCTCTCCTGCCCTTGTGAGGTCAGACAAAAGTGCTGGGGCCTGGTTTTCCCATCAGCAGAGTGTGCATGGATGTTGCTGCAATCCAATAGTAGAGGCACGTATGTAATTAGCAGGGTGACACAGATCCTGATGTGCTTTGAGTAAAGACACTTGATTCACCTTCTTCTTCCCATGCCTCTCTTGAGCGTATTTTAACAACTGCTTCCTGTCCTGGCAGCAGCACAACATTGCCGGCTGTTCATCCCCCTGCTTGACCTGCGGCAGGTTCAAGGATGCTTTCGATGCACTGGGCATTGTGCCTGGTCGTTGGTCATTAGGGTTGTTCCTGAAGCTTTTAAGGATAGGTTGGATGGAGGCTGCTGAATGTCTTTGGCCCTGTGGGCTGAATCCAACCCTGAGGCTTCATGCAGACCAGATCCAGGCCATAGGGCTTCCCAAGGGCTGAATGACCCATGAGTGGCAGTGGCAGCAGTAATCCCCGTGGCCGTTAGAGCCACTGTTGTAGTGCAGGTCTGGAACCCAGGGGGTTAATGCCACTGCCACCCACCCTCCCTCTTTTCCCCCATTACTGATCTTATCCACTGTGGGTGACCTGGATTTTGGCAGGGATTTCAGCAGGGCTCTGGTAGGTACAGAGATGAGCCTCTTATGCCAGATGGATGCTTCAGTCTATGAGAAGCTCTGTAGGCCAAATAGTCCATCTGTTCAGGCCAGATGCAGCCCATAGGCCACGTGTCTTGGATGGCTTAGACTGAGACAATTCTGCCTCAAGCAAGGAGTTGCCAAGTGACCTCCTGAGGTGCCTGCTGGCCCTACTGTTCTGTGATGCTCTGATTTGAATGTGGACTGATTCACATCAATGACTGAGTGACTATGGCATTGATGCCTACACAGTTGGATGGGTCAGAAATTGGCTGATGCAGTGCACCCAGAGAGTGGTGGTGGATGGGTTGTACTCAACCTAGCAGGATGTGAACAGTGGGGTCCCCCAGGGCTCGGTCCTGAGGCCTACGCTGTTCAACATCTTCATCAGTGACTTGGACGAGGGGGTGGAAAACACGTTGTCCAAGTTGCCGAAGACACCAAGATGTGGGGAGAGGTAAGCACGCTCAAAGGGAGAGAGAGGCTGCAATTAGACAGACTACAGAGTTGGGCGGATGGTAATAGGATGGGGTTCAATGTAGATAAATGCAGGGTGCTGCATCTTGGGAGAAGGAATCCACAGCATACATACAAGCTGGGGAGCTCCCCCCTTTGACCACAGAGGTGGAAAGGGATCTTGGAGTCATTACTGACTCCAAGAGGAACATGAGCCGCCAATGCCAGACCACAGTCAGCAAAGCCAACCACACCTTGTCGTGCATCCAAAGATGCATCTCACGCTGGTCCAGAGAGGTGATACTCCCCCTCTACACGACATTGGTCCGGCCTCAACTGGAGTACTGCGTCCAGTTCTGGGCACCGCACTTTAAGAAGGACATGGTCTGCCTTGAGAGGGTTCAGAGGAGGGTCACTCACTTGGTTGGAGGGCAAAAGGGCAGGCCCTATGAGGAAAGGCTGAGGGACCTGAACCTGTTCAGCCCCTAGCTGAGGCTGGGGGCGGGATTTGGTGGCTGCCTACAAACTCGTTAGGGGAGATCAGCAGCAAATAGGAAGAGTCCTATTCCCCAATGGCCAGATGCTGCTGGAGAATAGGTTCAGGTTAGAGATTAGGAGGCACTATTTCACTGTCAGGGTAGCTAGGATCTGGAACCAACTTCCTAGGGAAGTGGTCCTCACTCCTACCTTGGGTAAATTCAAAAAGAGGTTGGATGAACACCTGTCTGGGGTCTTGTGAACCCAGCGTGTGCTCCAACCAGTGGCGGGGGGTCAGACTAGATGATCTATTCAGTTCCCTTCTGACC